CTTCGCGACCAAAACCCCACCCACCTTTCTGCCCGCCCTCAGCCACCGTCGGAATAACCTCACTTCCGTCCCGCGTGTCTCCGCCCCCTCGCCGCCGTCGCTCACCGCTCCTGCCGGAAGTCGAGAGAGCCCGAGGCGGAAGGGGCGGGGTCTTGGAGGGGTGTGGTTAGCATGGAGCCGGGACCACAGCTGTCCGGGGCGGGACCGGAAGTTTTCCCGGGGACTGCGCCACGTCCGTAGCGGCCGGGATCGAGTGGGTGACGGATCTGCGGAACCGGAGCAGGGCACGATGGCGGACTGGACTCGGGGTGAGCGCGGGAATGCGGAGCCGATGGAGCTGGGTCGGCCCGAGATGGAGGACGCGTCTCGCAGGAGCCGTGAGTGCCTGCCCGCTCCGGTCCGCTCTCGGGTGACCTCGGCGGGCAGGACCCTGGCCTTGGAGGCGAAGCCGAGTTTCTCCAGGCCAAGCCGGGACCAGGAGGCTTTGGTCTGCGCTCCCGCTGGGCGGGAGACTGGGTGCGACGGCCCAGCCGTGCGGTGCAGGGGCCGTGGGGGTCCCCGCCCCGCGCAGCACCAATGCCTCTTCGCGGGACACAGGGTCCCCACTCCCTCCTCCCTGCCAGATCCTTCTGCAGGTGATGGGTGAACTAGAGCCTGGCTGTGGCCTCGGCCAGGGGTTAGCCCTTAGGAGCAGAGGCTACTGACCTGGCCCTGGATGCCCGTTTCCCGTCTTGGAACCCGCGTTCTCATCTGCTGAGTGGGATGCTAACGTCTGTCTCACTGCGCTGGTTTGACTGCTAAAAGAATTAACTTACTGTGGTTGGCAGGGTGCTGGCACCCTTTCCTCTGGGGTCTGTACATGGCAAAGATTCTTCGTCCCCCTGCCCCAACGTTAGATTGGTCACACTGAGGCTGGCCCTCCCCACACGTAGGGCCAGCAATGAAAGCATTTGCATTGCCTGCTTAGGCCGAGGCGGGTCTAACCCACGCGATGTGACAGGAATTTCATAGCACCTGGACAAGCCTGTGTCAGGCCAGGTCTCTGTGCCCTGGGTGTCCTGGGAGACTGTGTGTGGGAGGCAGAGGTGAGCAGACCCAGCGTGGGGAAGTTCTGCGTAGTCATATCGTCTGGTGAAAGGCCTTTCTAATGTCCTGCCCTAGTTACATGTCACCTCTTCAGGACCCAGTTCACAGGTCAGCCCGGCAGGAACGTTCCTGCTGCTGTCCTGGGTGACCTTCCCATTCTCCTCTGCCTTCACCAGAGTGTACTCATTTCCTCGGAGCAGGGGTCCCACATTCATAGGTGGTGACATCCGTGGGGTAGGCGTTGCTTCTTACCAACATCCCTGGTCTTGGTCCAAGTTCTGGCCCAGTCGGTGTCAGAAAGTACACCTCGGGCTAACCCAGTGGTGGGAGCCTGCCCATCCGCCAGGTGTGCACGGGTCACCTGTTCATGCGGACTGGCTCCTGTGTGCGAGGTCCACATGCTGGAGCCCAGGTTAGGGCTGAACTAGCTCAGCAGACGTCTGAAATGCCCGGTGCAGTTGGAATAAGGCAGGCCAGGGGCCATGTTCGCAAACCCTCAGCCTCAGTCTCTCCTTGCAGCTCAGAGCCCCGGTGCCGTGGAGGAGATTCTAGACCGGGAGAACAAACGGATGGCTGACAACCTAGCTTCTAAGGTCACCAGGCTCAAATCGGTCAGTGGTGGGCCTCTCTTCTCACCTCCACCTGGTGCCCTTGGAGAGCAGGGACCCAGGGGTGGGTCGAGGGCTCCAGGCAGCTTTCCATTTCCCTTGTCCTTCCTGTGGTTGTGCTCACTCGTGTGAGGCCCCGGTGACCCTTGGGTCTTTCCAGCTTCTGCTTGGTGCAGAGCGGTTGGCAGGGTCTGGCTGATCCCAAGGGGAGGCGAGTGCTGGGTTCCGTGTCTGCCCTGGCCCACCCCTACCTTTCTGTGTTTTGAGCAGCTGGCTCTGGACATCGACAGAGATGCCGAAGACCAAAACCGGTACCTGGATGGCATGGTAAGGGTCTGCAGCCCACACCACCTGCTGTGCAGGCCCCTGGCATTTCCCGCCCTTCCGTGGCATGGGTGAGAGGTCAGGGCACTGCCACCACGTGACCTTGTTGTGATTCTCCCTCAGGACTCTGATTTCACGAGCATGACCAACCTGCTCACAGGGAGTGTGAAGCGCTTTTCTACAATGGCAAGGTCTGGGCGCGACAACCGGAAGCTTCTGTGTGGAATGGCTGTGAGCCTGATTGTGGCCTTCTTCATCCTCTCCTACTTCCTGTCGAGGTCAAGGACGTGAGCCAGTGGAGCTGGCCTGAGTGGGTGCCAAGGGCAACCAGGGTCTTCCCCCGCCTGGCACCCTTGCCCCAGAGGACTTACCTACAGAGTACTTCGAAATCATGATCGTGGGTTAAGAATCTTCTTCCTGTGTGGCAGGAGGCGAAGGCAGCTTATGGCCCGATGGCTCGTGCTGGCTGGTCTCGTGTGGAAGTCACCCTTTCCTGCGGGGAAACCAGGGCCCAGTTCCTACACCCACTTTCAGGTGCTAAAGACACCGGCAGAGCTGGGGCCACTGTGTGAACAGGATGGCTGTCAGATCTCGGACGTGTCCCCATGGCTGGCAGGCCACCTCAGCCCTTGGGGTCTGGTGTCTTAAGGCTTCTACGTCCCATCCTCATCTGAGTGAGGTCACCTCTGTGGTCTGAGGTGTGGAGCTGGCACAGGATGGGGCCGTGGCTGTGAACCCC